CAGATCCCCTTGTATGCAACTAATACTTTCTTGCAAATGAAAAAAACTAACAGCTCTTTAAAAGTTGTTTCAATTTATGAAAGGAATGATATGATGGCATTACCTTTTATAGAAGGGAACTGGACTTCACCTGTGAGATCCTTTCCTGTTGCATATCCTTGAGGAATGACCGAAAGAACACCTGGATGGCCAGATGAAATACAAAATACCTCTTGCTTCAGACTAACTAAACAGTGGTCCTTTGGCTGCAGAGTGGTATGTTTTTAAGGGGAACCTGTATTAATTAGACAGTCCTGAGTTTGAAGCTGATAACTGTCTTCAGAGGTATCATTTTTGTGTGGATTAGCCAGCTGATGGTATCAACCACATGCAGTGTCTAATAAAACCTGTGTATGCAGGTTCTAGTCTCTTCTTATAAAATACCTGCTTCTTGCTGAGCATAAAGCTATGAAATTTTTCTAGGCAAATGATACTCAGTGAAGAGTTAAAATGGACTGTGTCCTTGAGTTGAGCTAGAAGGAGCTGCATTGGTCTCACGGAAGCTGGTATGGATATGATATTTGCAGTTTTATTATTCTGATAAAGAATGTTATGGCAGTGCACCTGGAACAACCTTATCTCAGTTTGTACAGATGTATGCTGATACTTGAAATAAGGCTTCAGTGAGATATCAAAATGCCTGTGTAGTGCTTGTTGATTAGAGGAGGAAATGTAGGTGCATTAGTATCTCATTAAGGTCATCTTTAGCTCTTTATAAATTAAAAAAAAAAAGCCTCTAAGGGAGAAGTTGATATATGGAAAATGGATTATGGTGACACTGTTCACTGTAACATTTCTAGTCCTAACTGTAATACAGAAATTAATTGTGCAGGTTTTGAAACTAGCAGAAATCTGTGTATAGTGAAGCATGATCCTCTGGCTAGTTGCCATCCTGAAATAACGCTCTAAACCGTGGGGAAGTGTTACTTAGAACAAGTTTTGGCTCCCTTTTCCTAAGTTGGCAGACTTTCCCAGAGGAAAGATAGCAGGTAGACCAAGCTTCCAGACTAAGCTTCTTTTACTTTCTGTTAACAGTAAATTCACGGTTGGTTAACTTTGATGTCATATTGTATAATGTCAGCAGTGGCTGAACGTAAGTTGCATATTCTTATGTGCAACTTCCTCATTCTTGCAGTTCTTGCTTCCTTCCTCTCCCTAGAGGAGAACCTCAACCCCCCGTATTTATTATTGTGATTCATGTGTTTGCAACAGAGGGCTGTGGAGGTAGAACTCCAGTTTCTACAGATGGCTGATGCTATCAACAGATATTAACCCCTTGCATTAACATGTACCTAATATTTTTGTTTACTGAATCCTGTTGTGCACTATTCTTGTCTAGACTTTCTTCTTTCATCTGTAGTAAATGCTGAGGTTATGTTTTCTAAGGCTGAATTCTCACCATGGCTTCTGTGTTTAGTTTGCATTTATTTTTCCCTTTCGGCACAAAGTCCTTCTGGAATACCATTTTTTTCCAAGATCTGAATATAGTTTGGATTCCTTCTTATCCTTATTGGAATTCAAGCGTTTTAAGAGTTTGTTATTTGCTTGTTTTGTTGTTTTGGTTTATGGTTTTTTTTTTAAGAAGTCATCTGTCCTCCAGAAAAGATTCCTGACCTTTAGTAGTAATTTGGAGTGTTTCAGAGTCTTGACTGTAGCATTACCCTTGGAATAAATGTAGTACCAAATAGTTGCTTTATTTTTCAGTTTAGTTCCATAAATTGTGTTAAACAATATCTGTGTTTCTGCAAGCTTTCAGTGCGTATGTGTCTCAGACACAATAACTTGTCCAGAAGCTCTGTGGGACTTGAGAGAAGGTCTAGACTTACTGTATCAGTGAATTTATCTATCGTTATTGCTATTAATAATCTGTTTCTTTAAGCTGTGGAGAGAGCGTGCTAAGTCTGGCTGTACACAGTGGGGTGTGTGGTATCTCTCCCCTCCTTTAGGGGCCTAATGTCATAGAATGAGGGTGAAGTTAACAATGAGATGTAGCTTGAAGTTAGTCGTCTCTTTCCACCCGTTTCTTGGACTTTGTTGCCAAGCACAGAATTTGGTTTTCTCACTCTCACTTTGAAGTGGGAACTGATTCTGATGTGTATGTTGCAAAGCAGTGACAGTTTCTTTTATATTGAAATAGCATAGTTAGATTTCGTTACATTAAAGAGTATAATGAAAATTTACATATCTTAGCAAGCAAAAACAGTCTGTCAAATAAATGAGATGTATATTCAGCAGTAAAGATTCTAGTTAAGAGACTCGTTTCAAATTCAGTTTGTGGTATAGCCTGCAGAGAATGCCCAGTTTGTCCATTCTTTAAAAAAAAGTCTTCCTCGCCTTCCAGTGCAGGACACATTCCCCTCACTTTTTTATATACAGTGAAATTGTAAAGTCAGTGCTCAGAAACATGAAACTCCTTTGAGTGTTTTTGAGTACTTTGTGTTCCTTAGCCAACTGGTCTTGTGAAGCAAGAGAGGGTCACTTACGTTTCTGCAGGACAGATTTCATAGCAACATGAGTGGTTCCCTGTTGTGGAGTTTATGATGCTGATTTTTTCTTTTGAACAGTGTAAGTTACTAGATACTACCATTCTTGGAACACATCATAGATTTTTCAAACTAGATGCATATTAGTGCTCTCAGTGTCTGTTGCCTTTCTTTCTCTATTGTGGCTGTTTTCTGTGGAAAATAGTGCAGTTCATGCTACTGTGCTGAAGTACTTGCAGATATAAATTGGCCTTTTCAAGTTTTGGGTGTTTGTAAGTAGAAATTAAAAAAAACCTTGGAATGCTCCAGTTTAACCTTGTCTGCTATCAAACTGAATTGAGCCATGAACATAGTCCTCCTGGCTTTACTTAGAAAGGAAGCAGCAAGTTAAGTATTCTGTAAGAACAAGTGGATTGGATCAGAAGATGCTCAGTTTGAATGTTACTGCTATTATGACATCCTGGAGAAGAGGAAGAACATAACATGTGAAGATGTAGTCAGAAAATTTGAAGTATTGGATGTTTCCACAGTGACACATTAATTTTGAACTCTATATAGAGCAGTTTCTTATCTTTATTTGCTGGTGTTGAAAATAATCAGCACATGTATTGAAGCTGATACTGTAACTCTGGAATCTTCCATTTCTAGGAAATAAGGCAGTAAAGTTGCTGGCTTGCTTGGTAAAGGGCAGTGCATTTTCAGTCATGGATGTGAATTCTTACCCAGTACAGTGATAAGAAGTGGTCTGTCCACTGAGTGGTTATTTGACGAAGACTGAGGAGGACAAAAGTGCGGGATGGATGCATGAGACTTCCTTCTGCTATGGCAGAAGAGTTTCTTCTCAGATTTTCTTCATTGAAATGACTGTTCTTGGAACCTGTGCAGCAAGCACTTGGTGTGGAATTCTATCTTGCCAGCACATAGAAGAATTACTGTCCAAAATTGTCTTTCCTTTACTATCTTGGACTGAACTTGGTTTAATATAAGAGTGTGTGTATATATATAGGACTTAGTGTAGATGCTTTGCATGCTCCTTGGGATAGAAGGACTTGAGAGTTTCCATATCATGAGCCAAGCATGAAGGAAAGGCAAGGTGCAGATCAGCGACTGGCACACAGTAAACCCTTCTTAACTGCCTGTTGGAGTTGTTCCCCCTCCAAGGTCTAGATAAGAGTGTTTGCTTTAAACCTCTGCTGTGTGAAGCGGTGGCTGTTGGTTGTGTACTGTGAATAAGATTTGTTGTCAGTCACCTTTCTTATGACTGTAGTTCACTGTTACAAATTAATTGTGGTTGAGGAAACAATACTTTGCTTTTGAAAAAGTTGCAGGCTTGTAAGCTTGCCTACATTTTTATTTCTATACAGTACTGGTCTCACTTGTCATGTGGATGACACATGACTGAATGCAAGTCTTTTCTAGGCTTAAAGCAGTGTTCTTTTAAAAAGAGTACCCTGTTTTTCCAATGGCTGGCTATCTGCCATGCAGGAGCAGGAAAGGAAATGGTGAATGCCTAGTAGAAATTTTCCACTTGCTTAACTGATCACCCTATATCTAGTTTAACTTAAAACCTAGGACAAGAGCAGGCATTTATCATCCTTTATACCAGCCAGATACTGCCAGCTAACAGACTTGTAATCCTGGTTAATTGTTGTATTAGTTGGTAAGTCAGCTATTACTCTTTGCGGGTTTACACGGCCGAAGCCAGTTCTAATTCCTCCTACATCTAGGAAAGCATAGGAAAACTCTGGAATATTGGAAGTACTTACCCCAATCTAAGCTTGACTATCACTTGAAGAGAAACTGCTAAGCCTTGCTGTAATGCTGCTATGCTGACAAAGCCACAGAGATGTTAACTAACTTCCTGAACATCTGATTTGTGGCTGGTACCACTTTTCTGACATGGACATGTAGCAGTCTAGACCCCAGTTAAGGCTACTACAGCATTCTCTTAAGTAATCCTTTGCTGTTTGATGAAAGCTGCACTGTTTCCTTTGTTCCTGTTGCAAGTCTCAAAAGTGTGAGGTAATAGTTCCAAATTGCTGGTTTTGTTAAACCTCTTCAGATTTTTCTTTTAAGAGTCAGATTTTACTTTCAGTTCATGTATCAGCTATTTGGCTAGTGAGTGCTGGTCCACTTAGTGACTCTGTACAAAGCAAGAAGCTACTGGAGCTTTTCAACAGCTTTAAGTCTTTCTGGTTAAAATTGAATGAGTATCAATACTACGCAGAGTGTCTTTCTACTTAGAGGCCTTACTGACAGGGGTTCAGAGCAAATGCTGGGGAGTTCTGCTGAATGTCTCTGTCACTAATTCATGGGGAAGTACACAGAAACTTGAACTGTGAATGAAAGGATAGTTGGGGGGAGAGGAAGGGAAAGGGGGTTTTGTGTTTGCTTATATGCATTAAACTGGATGAATTGGGTTGAGTTCGGTGAACAAGTAGTAGTACTGATGTGTTCTGTTTTTTTTGTTTTAGTGCCACAATGGCAACTGCACCTTACAACTATTCCTACATCTTTAAGTACATCATTATTGGTGAGTATCACTGGGCACATTCCTGTTTATGTCAATGTGTATATGCATGACAGTCTACCTACAAACACTGTGGCTCTACTATTGTTGACTTCGGTTGTGTGCTACTCACTAGATGGTAGCGATTCTTTCAGTAGTTACTTGTGCAGCCTCGGTCCCTCACAGATCACTAAGCTTGCTCTAAAGCTTTAGCGGCTGACAATGTAAAGGCAAATGCCTTTGTCACAGAACTAGAGCTGTGTAATTGGTGGCAAGTGAACTGGGAGTGAGGGCAAGTACTGCTGTCTGTGCTGAGTTCACTTTATTGATGAGTTACTGTTAAAAATTACTGTTCCTCTTGACATACATACCTCAGTATTCTTGAACACCTTCACTGTTAGGGCCATAATGCTTAGTCCTCTGCATAGGGAAAAAAAAAAAGGCATTCTAAAAACATGTGTATGTGGTCCCTTTCTCCCTAAATCGTTTATATTTAGAAAAATTGCTAAACGCACTGGAAATGGGCAAAAACTTTAACGGCAGTTGCCACAACTGGAATGTTGTGTTGATTCACGTTTGCTGTAGCACTTTGACTGCCTTGGCATCATTAGCCTCAAAGGTTTTAGCATCTATGTTGAAGACACAAGTACTAATTGGAATTCATTGCCTTAGACAGGCTTATAAACCTCTGTCAGGCTATAATTTTGTGTTTAAATGTTGCTTTTAGCTCCAGCTTCCTTGGCTGTTTAGAGTCAGGGACTTGATTGTATTTATTACTACCCTGGAAGAACTGGTCTTGCTGTTAGTTTTTTAATTCTTCATGATCTTGTGTAGGTGTAAGTGATCTGCAATCTTACTGTAATGCTTTGTACGTTAGGCTGCTGTGACAGCCTCAGCCTGTGGAAAAGTTGGTTCTTAAAAGATCTTGCTATTTCTCACTATTGCCATTGTGTAAGTGGATCAGTGGAAGTGAAGCAAGCTCTTGGTGTGTTCTGGTTGGTTGTCGGTGTTTTCGATGTCCTTACCAGTAATTGCCAGTAAGACAGGAGCAGGGCAAATACTCAAAAGGTGTATTTTACATTTCAGTTTCTTAAAGGTATACTTCTCATAACCTTGTGAAATACAGTTGTGAAATCAGTAGTACAAATTAACATCTCTTGAGTTTTTCTGCTTCACCCTTGCTTGCAACCCTGTACCAAAACTATAATGCAAAAGTTGATGAATTTAATGGCTGTAGCCAGGTATAGAAAATTGCCACTAGAGGAGTGGCTGCTTGTCTCTCTACCTTTTGTTGCGTGGGATGAAGAAAATGTGCTTGTTGCAACAATGATGTGGTGTCAGCCTTAACTATTCTTTCTGTAACAGGGGACATGGGTGTAGGAAAGTCCTGTTTGCTTCATCAATTTACAGAAAAGAAGTGTGAGTATTTAAATTCACAGTATTTGTTCTAACTGGTCTGTTTCATCCCTCTTTCCTGCCTTTTTGCATCCATCATGCATGAGCTTGATGTGGTGTCTGTCTTAATCTGTATGGGTTTGTATTGTACTTGGTCAGATTTTTGTTCTGACTGCTGCAGACATAAAAACACAGTGTTGATGTAATGGCAAAACAGTGTCTTCAGTCAGTCCTACCTGTGATGAGTGGCAAGACCATGTCTCTTTTTTTACAGCTTTGTTCTGTATCAAAACTCCCTAGAAAAGTGAAATATCTTGTCTGAAAACTGCATGTTTTCGGCATTGGTGTAACTTGAACAGAAGCAGTTGAAGTTTTTTAGTGCTTTTAAGCACTTCAGAAAGAAAAAAAAGATTCCTTTTTCTTTGACTCTTTGTTTGCAGACTTAAGTAGCACTGTCATTCTCTGTAGCTTCTGTGACTCATGACACTTGGACTGCCTTGTGTGATGGTGTTTAAAGCTTACTGCAGCCTGTCTCAACTGTAATGTTTTTTCATGTATACTATCATGACTAATTAAGAATTAGCTTCAGTTCCTCTTAATGTGTGTTGCATTGGAGCTTGCAGCAGCTATTATCTCTTACGGCTTTCCATGTAGCTCATGCTCAATACCTAAGTCTGCAGATATTTATTAGTACAAAGTTAAGTCTTCACCATGCGCTACTTTAGATGCAGTAATAAGCGGGTACAAGCTACAGTTTAAAATATTGCTGTGTTCTAGTAGAAACATGATTTTTTTTAAACTTGCTTTTAATCAAAATGCAGTGTCAGCCAATTGTTTAAATACTATTTTACATACATCATTCTTGATGAGGATGCCTCTTGTTCTTAGTCTGTTAAGCTGAAGCAGTACAACCAAACAAACTAACATGCCAAACATCTCTACTACAAGACCATCACTAACTGTAGATAGCTTGAATACGTACTCATCCTTTCTGCATTTCCTTGATCTTTCTTAAAGATGAGGTTGTTATCACTTTTGATTACTGATTTGCTGTGTTGATAGCTGCTTATGAAACTGGCTTCTTCCTGTGGACAGTCATGCTATTACCCTGTCTGAAACAACTTGGGATATTTGTTTTTGAAGCTGTTTTTCAGACTTTTACTTGTATCTTGGTAATTCCCTAAAAGTTAGCTTTTTGTACTGCACTAAAATAGTTAATGGTTTCTGCAAGGATAGACTGAGAATCAACTGATTTGATACTTTCTGATATATATGGCCAAACAGCATGAGTGTACACACATGAGAGAAGGCAAGGAATTTTGTAACTGTTTTTAAAACTTAGAGCAGTTGAGGAAATACTTTGTTTTATTTCTGGTTAAGTGATACAGTTTGGGTACTGTAGCTGTGTAAATGCTTTCTTAGAGACTGAAAATCTATTAAAGATGCCTGAAAACTGGTGATAGTAGTATCTTTGTAGCAAGGAGATCTTGTACTGATCTACAGGATCTGATCCTTGCTCTTATTTTTCGTGACAGTTATGGCGGACTGTCCCCACACAATTGGTGTTGAATTTGGCACGAGAATAATTGAAGTTAGTGGCCAAAAAATTAAACTACAGATTTGGGATACAGCAGGACAAGAGAGATTCAGGGCTGTCACACGAAGCTACTACAGAGGAGCAGCAGGAGCTCTCATGGTCTACGACATTACCAGGTAAGGTGTTGTTGACTTGTAGCTCGGTGTGTGCTTGACAAGCTGCTGGGATACCACCGCCTTATTTGGACTGTCTTGTCTGTCCCCTTCACTTAGACTGTGTCTCTGTCTGGATGGATTTGTATCCTGTTGTGTGAAGATTACCACACTTCTTTATCTAAATACTTTAAGTATTTAAAGAGCTGAAAATGAAATACAGGGAATTATGTGAGATGCTTTTCTTGGAAAACTTCACTGCTGACAGACCTGAGGATCTTACCATTTCAGGCCTTGACTGCCTGTGTTGAACTTGTTTAAAGAACTGGCTTTGCCCTTAAAAATCTACTCTTCAGTACGTGGATTTTTCTCTTTCTGGGAGGCAATGGATACTGCTGCTTACCTGGCAGGAATACTCTTAGAGCAGGCATAGGACAGAGTGTTACCTCTGTTGCAGTGGGCTATGCAGATGTGCTTGGCAGACTGTCTTCTGAGCCTCTTCACAGGCTAGTCCTCTGACAAAACGAGACTGTATAGAAGCTATCCTGTCTTCCTTCTATAGATGAAAATTAAAGGTGCTGCTAGAAGAATAATTAATCACATGTGCAACACAAAATACTTCTGCTTTCACATGTTTCCCATCTTCATCTGGGGCTGTTCTTCATACTCTTTAAGCACCTTTTTTTTTCCCTGCATATATAGGTGTATCTCCCATGTGCTTAAGTCTTGAGTAAAACATAAATAATCTTATGCACTGTTTGTTACCAAAGTGCTATTCTACCATACAGTGTTCGCTAAGAGTGTTTGACAGGAAATCCTTTAATGTGTTCTATACAAAACATATAAATGTTGTCCTTGTGAAGACAGTAAAACTATGCATACTAGAAATGCGAATTAGTCTTTCTTTCCACCTGTGTTGTAGGAGTTGCTTTAGGGGTTTAAAGTTGACATGTTGAAAGAAACCTTGGTCAGAGTCCAAACAAGATGCTGCTGCTTTGTCTTTCTTGAGGTTGGGGAGAAGAATAGGGATGACAGATGTTGGTGTGTTTAATGGATGCTGACCATGCTATTGGCACTTAAGTATTTTTAAAAATACTGTAGCTAAAACTGTACTCGCTTGATTCTTTGCAGAAGAAGTACGTATAATCACTTAAGCAGCTGGCTGACAGATGCAAGGAACCTCACCAATCCAAATACTGTAAGTTGGACTTCATTTAGCTTAAAAGCAAGATTGCCCCTCTCTAAGCAAGAGGTAGAAGGTGTAGGCCAAAGCATCTGCAGCGGTAGCGGTGTTCTCTTAAATAAGCTGCCTGTGCTGAGTTATCCTTGTGTCCCCGTCTTACAGTAAACCAGTGACTCTCTTCCCTTACTGCAACTGGAGCAAAAGTGTAGGCTTCTGTGCAGGAAAGCAGTGGTTTCTTCAAAAAGTCGTCTTGTGCTACTTGCCTTTCACGGGCCTGTTTTTGAGAGTTGGAGACAAAATTGTGATTAACTCTGGACAAAACTTCTGTTACTACTTCTTCTTGCTTTTTGTGGTAGTAATGAAGTGAATGCTATCTCATCTTAGACTGGAGTATAAACTGGATCTGCAGCAACAGCTGACCAGGTCTTCTGGAGGGATTGTCTCTTAGACCGTATCACAAAACTGTTGTCCTTCAGTCTTTCTCTGAATGCCTCTAAAATACTTTAGCACCAAACTCATGGGAAGACTCTTTGCTGCGATGAAAGAAAATGTAAAGATTCTGGCTGGATTAGCAGATGATTAAACAAATACAAGAAGTGATTCTGAGTAAAACTTTCCATGAATAAAGAGTAGGACAACAGCTTTTTAGGACCTCGTCTCATGCGAACAGCCTAAAGCATTCGGAAGGGACAGCTGGAGATGCTATTCCTGACTTTACAGGGGGGCACTGCTAGAGCAGTGTTTTCCAGAAGATGCATGCTGCTTGCAGTGAAGCTTTTCTGTGTATTTCCTTTTGGGTTTTTTGTCCTCTTAATAATGAGGGTGGTAGTGAAAAAGCTAATAAGCTTTTTCCCCAGACTAATTTTCTCTCTTCTGAACTAGGTGATAATCCTCATAGGAAATAAAGCAGATCTGGAAGCACAGAGGGATGTTACATATGAAGAAGCCAAACAATTTGCTGAAGAAAATGGTGTGTGTTTCATTTGTGTGGTTTTTTTTTTCCTCTTGAGCTGCTACATTTCCTACAAGATAGCAATGTTAAAGTGAATCTTCAGCATCGATAGCTGCAAGCTTACACTTCCAAAGTAATGTAATTATATCTACAAATGTCTACTGTGCCTTAGGTAGTCTGGCTTAACTCTAACTGTGCTTAGACTAAATTAGGTCATAAAATACCGCTTAGTTCTAAAATAATGTCTTGCATGTAATCTGAAGGTCATAATGTTACTGACTTAGGGCTATTTGAAGTATATTATGCATTGACTGTTAAACCTCTGTTTCTGAACAGGTTTATTGTTCCTTGAAGCAAGTGCAAAAACGTAAGTTACTTCTGTCTAGAGTAATGGCTCAGATGTGGTCTGTTTAAGAGGAGTATATTGGTTATGACTAAGTACAGCCCTAGAGTTGAAGTGTAGTAGGGTTTTACAAGTGAAAAAAAAAAAAAACAACCCCACCAAACATTTTTGAGCTCTCTTAGTGGGTAAGATACCTATAGCAGTTTGTCATGTGAGCTTTGACTTGAAGGTAACTTGGAAATGAGACCTCTTGCTATGTTTCAGGCAAGGACTTGTTGAATTCAAATGAAGTGATTTGGTTTTAAGACGTTATTTGAGCATAGCATGTGTACCTGTGGGTAAGAGTGGGTCCCAATTAGATGTTCTTTCCCTCGGATGTTTTGAGCTGTAAGTAAGCTCTGTAGTGAACAGCCAGTCCCTTCGGTCACCGAGAGGAACTGCTGCACCGTGCCTGTGGTGGGCTGTGTCAGCCGAGGAGCCCGTTGGAACATGAGGGATCGGACCTCCAGTGACACTAGTCAACGTGGTTACAACTGGTGCCTGTCATAATGGAACTTTTTAACAGAAAGGTTTTGTCTGATAGCGGCTCCCCTGTCGTTAAGCCTCTGCCAAGACTGCTCTGTGCGTGTGGCTCGGTGCATTAGCTGATTTTTTTGCTACTCAGTGTTTTGGCATGTATTTCTTGTTCTTGGCTGGTCCTAATAGGTTTAACGGCAAGGGAGGGACGTGCCCTCCGGAAGGCTGTCCCAAGGATAGGTTCCCAAACTTTGTGGTATCTCTGCCTTAGGTACTGTAGCTCCTCTTGCACATGAGAGGGCAGGGGAGCAACTGCATGTGCTCGGTGACCTGTCAAATCCCAGCAGAGATGCTTAGCCAGCTGCCTCCGTAACCTGCATCGCTTTGCTGCAGTGTAACCTAAGTAACTCCTGCTGCTCTCTTTGCAGTGGAGAGAACGTTGAGGATGCGTTCCTGGAGGCTGCCAAGAAAATCTACCAGAATATCCAAGATGGAAGCCTGGATCTGAATGCTGCAGAGTCGGGTGTACAGCACAAACCATCAGCTCCACAGGGGGGGCGACTAACCAGTGAACCCCAGCCCCAGAGAGAAGGCTGTGGCTGCTAGTGACCTCTGTTTCATGGCTCCATTTCTGACCTTTCACCTCGTGTCTGTTGGAAGCGGTGCTTTTGACTGCTTCCCTGTCTTCTGTACATCTTCTTGGGTTTAATTAAAACTCTGAGACAAGTTTAACACAGTACTAAACTGCTAAACGACTTTAGATGTAATCAGGTTATCAAAGGCAAGTAGAGTAATAAAACCTCTCCTGCATGGTAAATCTAGAAGTTTTTTTTTCCTTGATTGTCCTTGTGATAGTGTCACCGATACCTAATTTAAACCGAGCACTGATGCTGGACTCATGATTTTACACTTTCGCAGGGCTTTGTCTTGTACGGTTTAATTTTATGGTTCTTTGGCCTTTCTTCCCCACCTCTGACTGTTTAGAGCTGTCCATAGTAAAGGATGAGTTTTTGCTGTGAAATGGCTTCCGATGGTAGCGAGGGGCTCTGTAACATGTGCTTTTGTTGGAAGAATTCCCTGTGGTGTGTGTGCCGGGGGTCGGGGTGGGCTGGCGCAGGAGCGTTCAACTTGCACAGGGAAACAATCCGCTCGTTCTCGCCGCTCATAGCTTTACGTAATTTTTTTGCCACTTTTATCCTTTACATTTGTTAACAGAACGTAAATATGTATAAAATCTGAAGGAACTTGAGCTAACAGTTAAATACATCCTGTGTATATGATTTTAATGAAGAAAATGATTACTGGCATTAGAACAGTATATAAGAAAATACCAGTTTGTACAGTATGACCTGTATGTGACCACGTTGCCCCTTAGTACAGAAATTGATGTAACTGCAGTTCACTAACATAGGCTTAACTCCTTGGTGTTGCCAGTGGACATTGTGCTGGAGGAACGCTAATCCCGACGCAGAAACTAACACTAGTGGAATCTGTCTTTCATCTTTGCACTGTGGTATCTCTCTGCCATTTTATGAATCCTGTTCTGTGCAATCGGCAGTGTGCTAACCCGCTTCTCTCTTCTGTAAGCGTTTTGCATTATTGGGCTTCATCACCTGCCTTGCATCGTATACAAAGGCTGGTTCTCTTGCACATCTTATGCTTTTGTACCTTTAACTTTTTGAATGGTCCGAGGCTGAAGTGGACAGTTGAACACCACCTGTGCTCTAGGGATTTTTAACTACTGTTGTATTTTAAGTCCTGTGTGAGGGTTTCTTTTAAGACTTGTACCCTTTGAGTATGTCCCTCACAGGGTGACACAACCTGTAATGCTTGTAGGAAGGGGAGAGAGGGAGTGGTGACCATGGGGGGGAGGGGCTGCCATGGTACTCCATGTGGGGTTTGCTGTGGTGTCAAGACTGTGCTGTCTGGCTCTCTACATGTGGTACTGCTGTGCTTCACTTGGAAAACATCACCTGTGGTTTAAAAATGGAAGGGGGTAAGTGCTTAACCAGGATCAAATGTCTGACTTTAGTCTTACTGCAGTGTTTAAAATACAAAGTAGTTTTAAAATTCCTCTCTAGACACTAAAACTATACAATGTTCAGACTTGTAAGTAAACAGTGGTACCAGAGTATTGTACAGTCAATGTTAAATAAAAGCCAAAACTGGAATGTGCAGATAATACAATTTGGGTAACTTGTGCACTGTCCCTTTGTTTTGTCTGGTTAGTCCTTTTTTTAACTAATAAGTAGATGGGTATGTTTAAGATCTACAGCTAATGCATCCTGCTTAAACCAAGGTTGCACCACAAAGGGTTTGCCCAGGGACCATGACCTGCTGCTGCCATGAAGTAAATGTTCTAATGACTACAGCTTGTTGAGGTGCAATACCTGTACTCCCAGAGTTAAGTTACAGTAGGTCTTATTGTTTCTGTCACAGAAAGGATTTGTCTGGACTGCTGTACTCCTCATTTGATGTAACAATGCTATTAATCTAAATATTTGTAAATAAAGTACCTGTATCTAGATAAACTGCAGTGGCTTGTGTTACTTGCTCTGGCCCTCTCTGCTTACAGTGCTGCTGTGGGGGTGGCTGCTGCTTTCATGCTGAAGGGCTGAGGCTGTTGACCAGGTGCTGCTCCTGACCCTGCGCAGGGCTGGGGTTGCCAGGTGGCCCCAGCTTTTGGAGCCTGCCTGGCTGGGAGAAGGAGTCATTTTGTTCAAGCTTCCTGCTGGTGGGGGGAAGAAATGTTCGTTAGGACAGGCCTGTTCTCTGTGGAGGGAGCAGGCTCCAGGGAAGAGCAGCACAGCCTGTATTTCCTGGTGCCTTTTTTTCTGCTCCCTGAAGGCTTTACAAAGTGGGTTTTCCACTACCAGTTAAGAGCAAGTTGCTTGTAACTTTTGTTTGAGAGACAATTAACCATCACCGCATGCTGCAGAACAGCAATGCAGCCAAGCCTTCAGTGCAAGGCAGGTAGCTGACTGCTTGCAACTGGTTCCAGCTGAGGAAATGCCCAATTTGGACAAGTTTCCCTTTCTGCAAAGCAGAGCCCCAGGACTCCCAAGTGTGCTGCTGCTGTGTGAACCCAGGACTGCACAGCCAGGTCAGTCAGTGACAGCTGTGCCACCATCAGTAACTCCAAAACCAACAAAAAAACCTGACAGCCAACTGTGGATAAAAGCAAGCATCAGTCAGGGAAGTTTATTTAGGGAAGTAGTCAAAAGTAATTGTATTTAAAGTGTCCATGCCTTTGGCAACAGGTAAATGGACACCTCTGTCCTCCTTACAACGTTTCTTTGAAGTAGAAACTGACAAACACCTACTGTTAAATCCACATTTAAAATAGTGGTTTTTAAAAAAAACCTTATATACATAAATTCAGTTATTCCATTGTACAAAAACTTCACAGCACCAAGCCAGCCCTGCAGCCAGCTGTTTGTCAGTGATGGCAAATGCCTTTTGAGAAAAGGCTTGTGAAACAGTGAGGTAGAGAAGTCTTCGAAGGTGGTAACAGGTGGTACAAGACCACAGCGCCATGTGCTAAAAGGGAGCTGACGAGTTACAAGCAGCTCTCACCTACAACTTTTTTGAAAATACCCATCACAGCATCGAGCATGAGGATACCAGCCCCAGGAATGCTTTCACTGGAACAGGACAACACAGTCTGAGAACCTGTCCTTGGGCCACCACCACGCACTAGCTTCAGCCTTCAGGACGCTTGGCACAAAGCTACAGCTAGGCTGAGCCGTGCCTCACCTCTGGGCTTCACCGAGGAACTCCTCACGGGCAGGTATGCAACGTCCGAGACACCAGCACCGTACCTGCATGCCTGCTGGGGCCGCCTGCAAGTCTTGTCAGGGTAGCCTAGGAAGAGCAGTAAAAGTCTAAGTAATAAATTAATGTCTTCAATTAGTAGAGTCACATTAACCTTTAAAAAACAAATATCTGGATTTTAAATGAGACAAAACCACACCCTAAACCAAGTAACTTTGAGCAAAACTTAACCCTTTTCAAACTAGTTGGCTACTGCCAGAGTAAGTGTATAGCACAGTCACACCCCCCCTCAGGAAACCTCTGCAGCACCTCCAAGGTGGCAAGTATATGGCTCTAGTTGACTACTAACAAGCCAAAGCTTATTAAGAAAACCCCAAGCCAGAATTCCTGCACACAGCAAAGCATTACCTGTGTTTTTGTTAAATTCAGAGCATCATGAAGAGATACTAGACTTGAGCTTTGGGCCAGAAACAGTGAATCCGAAGAAGTGCTGCTGACGAGGTCATCCAGTGCATCAACCTGGCGCTTCAAGCTGTGAAGGGTGCCTTCTGTCTGCTGTTTTCCTCTGATTAATACTTCCACTTGCTTGGACATACATTGCCGGAGCTGAGCCTAAATACATCATTAGTTCTATTTCTATCCAGCTAGTATAATTTTCAAGACTAATGTTGTTAAAGTCATCGGGCTTTTTAAATAGAGTCTCAAACCACAAGCAGACAGCAATGGGTTTGTGAATTATTTTTAAACAAACAGTTCAACTCCTCCCAAGTCAGAAATAAGCTGATTTTATGGTCTTTATCATGAACTGCTTGAAGAGAGCACCACAGATGACAGGTTCTAACTAAACTGGCCATCACCTGCACTTAAAGTGATCATGGGTGCTGCTGCACTATTTGTCATGTTGCTAAGTTACCACAGTATGATGTAAAGAAGGGAATCCTGTTGGAATACTCAAAAATCCAATTAACTGTTCATTAAAATTACTCATCTTGATACAGCATGCAGTTGCTAGGCTTGCTTTTACTGTTCCCACCCAGCAGTCCTCTGTAGCTAGTCACTGCGTACAGAGCGGGTATGCCAGCGCTAGGGAGGCATCCCCCACAGGGGTTTCAGTTATTTTCAGAAGGGACCTGAGGGACACGCGAGTGTGACTGGGAAGGGACGTGCCACCTTCAGACGGTCTTCATGATGCTGCAGTTTTTCTCGGAGAGCCTCTCCACGCCACTGTTCATCCTTTTGGAAACAAAAGCACATTCAGCCACAGAGTGTTACAGCTAAAGCTGCCAATACTGACAGGCTCAGCCGTAGCACGAGCAGCAGCGACTTTTTTGAGAGCATTTTACCATTAAGAAGACTTTAGAAAAATTCAACTTTTCTTCCAGTGACAGGAATCTTCTGTCAGAAGCAAACAGACCAGTCTCCTCCAAGTTACCAGATCCACACTGCAGACTTCCCTTTACTTCAGAATACGCTTCCAAATCTCCCGAGGGTTCCAGAGAAGATGGGCTTGAAGATTTAAACCCCATCCTAATTTCATCTTCAACCTCCAGATTAAGCAGTGTTGCTGCATTCTGTATTTCCCTTTGTTTCTCTTCCAGGTCTTCTTGAGTTTTAACCTACATCATAGAACAGTCTCATCATTTTGCTGTCACATTACAAATGCATCAATCCAGACGGATCTTCCTGTATGATTAAACAAGGCTTATTTCTGACATGTTTACATTTTGGCCACTGCAGTCAGAAATCACAAAACCTCTGAACAGATGCAGCCCTAATTCTGACATTAGCTTTGCCTATGAAGCCCCTCGGCTGTAATAGAGGCAACTAAAGTTACCAAGAACACAACTTGTTAACTTAAACCTGATCATACTCTCGCCTCGTCTCCCTGAATGCTCTCTAGTTGCTAACAACGTTCTTCTCTTAAGGACCCTATTTTTAAAGGACTTGGAAACAATTTATAAAGGATTTATTAAAGCACTAGGAGCTGTCACACAACATGGAATCACCTGTTAATTTAAAGTGAGTCTCAAAAGAAGAAAATGCTGGCCCAGGTTGGCACTAACAAGTTGCCAAGTGCCTACAGAGTAGCTTTGAGCATTGGTAACCTTTAGTAATTTGCATAAATTATGACTCCAGTTATGCCAAGTTCCTGTTACCAAACCTTAACATAAACAGAAGCCAAGAGTCCTAATTCCCGAGTGAAGCATTGCCCAAACTGAGCGGACAGCAAATATTATGGTGCATTTGCTATCTATCTTGGGAGCACCCAAATCCAATTACTTTTAACGAACAGCAAGGACTAGCCCCCTCCACCCGCAACCCACCTCCAAAGAACACACTCTCTTTCTTGAGGCATCATTTTACTGAGTGAGAGGGGTTGATCCATTTGAAATGGCCTAAACAGTGCCTGTAATTCTCCAGCATGTGATGGGAAGTAACCGTGCTGTTGTGCCACTCTGCCATGGCCTTCCAGAGCTGAAGGATGAAATACTGCTTTACAGCTTGGCAGCCCCACACTGAGAACGCCGCACGTGACCGACTGGCTGGAGTTGGTTTGTTCATTTTTAAACCAGGATTACTGAGCTGCCTGATCCTATTGATTGTTAACAAAGCTTAACTTCTCCCACATTTGGGAAAATCGCACTGCAATTTTAAGCAGTCTACTTCCAGTTGTGATACAGCAGACAGGAAGAGATTCAAAGCCAATACAATATAAACCTGTCTGGAAGACACAGCCTTCCCTCAAACGCGCCTGTATTTGGCTACTCAGTTATACCTGGGTTTGGAGATCCACATAGTCCTGTTGCATCTGCCCAAAGTCCTTAACGCGCTTGGCTCGTTCACAGCTATTGTGTGCTACTTGTTCAGCAGTTGCTCTGTCACTCTGCAAACAGTTATTTTCATGCTTTTGTTCCTAGGAAAATGCAGAAAGACTGGTTTTTACTGTGAGCATCCACTGCAGAAAAATGAATCAAGAGAACTCACATAACACCATTTCTTCAAGTTAAAAGGCAGAAACAGCATTAAACAGGAGTAACTAGAGGGGTTCTGCAGCACAGTCTAGATATACCAGAGTTTGGCTGCCTCAAGTTCTGTCTAGTCATGAAGGTAATGCATTACTTTATTCCTCCTACAATAAGAATGGGTGTTGTATCATTTGGCTGTTTAAAAATAACCCAAATCCCCAAACATTCTCCCCTGAGCCAGGACTTACGCGCAGTTTTCTTTCAAGCTGCATCCTTTGCATTTTCATCGCTTCTTTTAGACTCAAGATTTGTTTTTTTGCCTTTTTCCTCTCTGATCCTATCTGATCTTGGAGATGGTTTAGCTCCGACTTGGAGACTTCCAGTTCTTTTTGAAGAGACTGTATTTCTCTATTTTTTTGTTGTAATTGTAATTCTTTCTCTGAGAGCTGATGTTCTGTAATTAACATTTTTTAAGAACAATCCTGATTAGCAGAAATGTAAGTATCTTGGCATATTTCATGCACATTTTCAAACACATTATTCGGCTGAGCAATGATTTGTAAAAACACCAACACAAGGTGAGAGGGGACGGAAGACCAGTTGGTTTTAGAATTTCAGCTAAGGAAGTCAATTTAAGGATCAAGAGTCAATCCAGGTGCTGGATTAGAAACCAAGTGAGATTAACAGAAATACTTGTTGGTTTCATTAGACTTAGAACTCACAGATGGTAACAATTTATTTGTGCAATGACTCTTACTGCTTTTTCTGACAGTTTCTTCAAGTGCTGCACATCGGGACTCCTCCTTTTCCAGCTTCCTGAGGTCATCTTCTGCCAGCCTTACTTTTGCTATTGCCTGCTCCAGTTTCTTTTGTTGATCTGTTAGTTCCTTTTCCATCACTATTTTCTGATCTTTCACTTTAGCAGTACATTCTTCCAGTTTTTTTCCTTCACGCTCTGAATTTTGCTTGAGGCAATGGAGAATCTGCCAAAAAACCCCACCACTTCAAGCTTGAACTAGTACCAACTCAATGAGAACAAATACCATCACCAAAAGAGATTATAGAAGTTAAAGCAGCATAAATTGGAAAGAACTGTAGTCTAATACTCCCTACTGACTGATAAAACACTCCCTACTGATAAAAAAGTTTATCAATTCTTCTTGCTTCTCTTATTTTCAGTACAACTCCCTCAGTTTTACTTTTGGTTAACACTTTGGGGAAACTGCTCAGCCAACGTACAGGAATATATGATTAAGCCTTAATTTTCATGAACAGCTCGTGGGCCTTGCAAAGAAATACCACAGAGGATAAGAACACAAGCTAGCTGCCAATAGCAATCCACTCGAAAAGCAAACTTCAGGATAAAAAAAGCCCTGGAATTTTCTCTGCATAGTTTTGGAATTATGGAATGCAGCTGGAGTTAAGTTTTGATTAGTTTCACTTGAAATCCATTGTAGTATTTCAGGTACTATACATAGTTTGCTTATCTCCCAAGAGAAATCAACAGCATGGGAGGAGGTTCTCTGAACTATACCCAGCTGCTGTATCTTGGCAGCTGATGAAACAGAATTCTAGAGAATAACCTGTACGAGTCCATCTCCTCACCCATACCAGCTACACCAGCAGCCAAGATACCATGCTGCACAGCGCCTGCCTCTACACCAGCCCTTCCTGCGCTCCGGGGTCAGCGCTGATGTTACAGCAATTTTGCTGCCAGCTCACTATGAGATGACCCTGCCAAGGAGGAGGACACAGTCCTTTGTTGTGACACGCTGGTCTTCACCAAAACGTAACAATGTTGAAGATTTTTATTTACTGCTATTCCTCTGAAAATGAGGCTTCATGTTTCTTAAAGCACGGGTATATATTTGTAACCTTGCACCCAAAACTTTTTGGCCTGCATTATTTTCAGAGGTCAGGAGAAAGTGAGGCAAGTACCGCTTCTTGTTTGGATAGTTCTGTTGCTTTCTCTTCAATCTCTTTCTGGAGCTGCTGCAATTGGTTCTCCCTCTTTTTCTGTCTCTCTTGGCAATCCTTACGTTTCCTTAAATACTCTAGGATATCTTCTTTCAGGGTTGCCTGCTCTTTAAGCAGCTCATCCTGATGCCTTGTGTTATTTTTCAAATCCTGCGATATCAAACAAAATCAAGTGACATAACTAGCTGGTAAGAGTTAACAGCTCTCTGGCTAAATGGCTTGCATTTGAAAGAACATAACTGGTCACCCCTAATCAAACTGAAGATTACCTTCCATTTAAACCAGCCACTGAGTGAATTAACACAGTAGGAACTACCAAATAAAAAGCTAGAAGATGCTGCCTTTTTTTTAAAAAAAAAAAAAAAAAATCATCTTCCTAGAAAACAATAAACCAGGGTCTGGATTGTTTTCTAGAAAGAAGATAAACTCAAAACCAAACAAATCCACAAGAACACACCCCAAACACCCACCAAACTAAACAACCAAAAAACAAAACCAAAAAAGCCACATACACCCCCCCCCCCCCCCAACTTGGTAATAGCAATCTGACTAGGAGAGTCATCCCAGTTGCCATTAAGCAGAAAACCCAAACCAGAAATCTCATTTGGTCAGGTACCTCCTGTACTCCAAACTCAGCAAGAACAAGGCAATAAGCCAGCCATCGTTCATCAGCTCTGCAAGGGTCTGATTTTGAGCTAGTGTGCTTAGATGAAAAACAGGTGATGGACGGTCAACTGTGATAAATGAGACCCCTCCTTTCTGTGCAACAATCTACGTGCTACATGAAACTAAGTACGTGTTTCACCAAAACTAACCTGTTCTACCAGTTGAAGCTGTCGCCTGGAGTCATTTAATTCTCCTTTCAGTGTTTCTAGTTCTTCCTTTTTTCCTAGAAAAATATTTGGCGACAGAGATTTTCAGTCAGCAATTTGAAATACCTAATCAAATTAATTATCTCTTTTCACAAATGAAGAATAGCCAATAGAAAAAGTTTCTAAAATGTACATCTTTTCAACATGTTAAATACTTTCTGCCTGTAGATATTTGAGCATGTTGGATATTTAGTATCATACAGTACAGTTACAGCGTGTCTTTTAACACAGTTTCTCTTAAAAAATATTACAGTTTAAAAACAAAAACTGATCTTTACCTTGAAGATCCTTTTGTACAACAATAATGTCTCCATTCAGTGATTTTTTTTGTTTGTTCAGTAGATCTACCTCCTGCTGCAAGTTTTTAACATCCAGTTCCATCTTTTCTACATTGGACAATGCAGTTCTGCTGCTATCTTCAGTAGCAGTTAAGTCTCTGTAAAATGTGAATACATATTCTCAGTTTGTTGGAAGTACTTGGTGAGGACTAAAAAACAACTGCATCTCAGCAAAAGTTCTCTCAGCTCACGGGGATGCTACCCCATAGTCATGAGAGCAAGACAGCTGTCCTGTTCAAGACTTAACATTTTGCTTTTCATAACGCATCTCATTGCATTGCCATAAGAAATGCTGTTGTATTCCTCAGCTTCATTGCTGAGTATTTTCTCTAAGTCTGTTGTAGACAGGCTTAAAATAAAACCTCCACAGGATATAAGAAACAGCATATTCTGTATAGTTGGGCACCTCAAAGTTACAGCTGTATTTTTAATTATGATAAACAGACATTCAAGGCACTTCCCATCCCTTCTTATCTTTGCAGAGTATTGCCCCCCACCTTCTGGTTTGAGACAACTTCTTTTCCAAACTCTGACAGTCTTCTTCAAGCTTTTCTTTTTCTTTACTCAAAGACTCAATATTATTTTGCAGACTGCGCATTTGAGAAACCAGATGTTCATTTTCCTGACGGTCTTTCTCAAGTTGTTGTTCCTGCCAATCTACTTCCCCTTGCTGACACTGAAATAATCTCTGAATATTCTCCAATTTTAACTTCTCCTACAAAAGAAGGCATTGTGAACACAGTTATACAGTCAAGGAGTAGAAAAAGTTATTAACATCTTTAGCTGTAGCAGTTTAAAAACCTTTCATTCAGAAATATCATGTGCAGGCTAGACTACCCTCTGTAACTACCACATTATAACAGGGATGACTGCTTAAAGTGCCAGATTAATTTGAACATATTTATGATGAAGATTATGATGAATTTGAGCATGAGGACTGGAAGATAGGGGTGCGATTCTTTGTTCCATCATAGTTTAACCACCATTTTTCCCCTATCCCTGAGAGTAGCACATCCCTTTCATTGCAGGGATTTTGAGAGAATGACCACTTTAAAGGGCTGCAGGACGCTCCAGTAGTGTAGTAAGGTGGCCACTTTTAAGCATGGTAACAGAAAGGTACCAAACATATCAACCAGTACCTTCTTTCCCTGGCCTCCACAGAAGGAGTACAAAGAGAAAAGGTAAAGTAAGCAGCAGGTAGTATCTGCTTCTATATGTTTATAAATGCTGTCTTAGCAGACACATTGGATTTTCTGGAATTGCACAACTGAGTGCAGGGGGGCTGTCCCAACTCTAACCTAACAATCCTGTAGCCACTCTGAGACTGCCAAAGGGATGCCACCGATCTCCCTGCCCACTGGTAGCAAAGTTGACTGTCTGTCTGTATTCGTCAAAGAGAAGAAACTAGCTGAACTAAAATACCTTTTTAATGGTAGAGGAGATCATCCAGCTGAGTTAGTAAACTGTCTTCCATACTTACTCTTTGCAAGTGAGAACACAGATAGAATCCACTCTGGAAGCCAATACTAAGAAAACAGTATTCATTGTGCTAAAGTCACAGAAGAGCCTTCTGTCTTTTTGCTCTCACCCATATACATCCCAAAAAATCTCTTTTTTTTTTAAAGGACCTAAGCAGACTTAAGACTTTCCTGTGATAAGCTGAAATCAGATTAGAACCTGATTAATTTATTTAATTTTTTAAAAAGTAGGGACTCTGTTACCCAGATCTTAACAGAACCACAGAATATGCAGAGCTCTTCTTCCAGTTAATGTATTAGCTACAAAAGAAATACTTACTTCTAGAATTGCAACCTGAGTCTTTTCTAGCTCATTGATCTTTTGGTCATGTTGTAGTTTCAAACCTTGAAGTTCATTATTTTCAAGCTCCAGCATTTCCAGAACATGCTTCAGTTCTAATAAGGTGAAAGAAATAAAAGGTTATTACAAGCACATCAAATGTATTCTATTTGCAAAAAAAAGGCACCAAGGAAAAATTGAGAGACACTATACTGGTATCATCCCTGTAAAAACTCTTCACGTTTTCAATTGCTGTGTCAGACACACCAGATATTGTATCTGGTACTGTTCTACCAGCAAGCTGCAGGTTCTTAACTCTCTTGCTCTTCCTATTCCCTGGGGAGTTAGTCTGGGACAGAGTGTCTGACTGATAAACAATGAAAGAAAGTATTGCAGAAAAAGCACAAAAGTTGCAAACTGACGCTGCTTATGCTTCCCATGATCTGACAGGATATAACTGCTTGGAAGGAGATCCCTCCATTTCCCCATATATCCCAATCTTTAATTCTTCTGTGAGTGCAGCACAATCAGCTGATGAATCCTAACCACACAGAGCTCGAGTGTGAACTCAACTGATCAGTCCTGACAACAGATTTGTTCACATTTCTTTCTGGCATGAAAAACTCCCAACCCAAATACAAAGCAGCACAAAGCACTGCCTCAGCTTAAGCAAAGGGTATCTGTTAGCTCTGTATCAAGTATGAGAATTACAAGGAACTCTTTCTCTGCTGTTGTTCACATTTAAAAAGAAGCAGGAGCAGAAGACCGCAGCGACGTACGCTTAAAGAGCTCGGAGTGTATTCCCTTCCAATCCACACAAAATACTATCTAGCAAAGCCAGGGACATACCTATCTTATGCCTGGTAATTTGCCCAAGTATTCCTTGAAGATTTTCCTCCTCTTTTCCAATATCCTTCTTTATGAACGAAAGCTGTGCTCTTTTCTCATTAATCTGGACATCCAGTTCTTTCCTCTCAACATTAAGTTCTTCCAGAAGTATTTTTATTTCCTGTGAAAAATATATCAGTGTTACAAGGAATGCCATTATTTCCCATTTTCAACAAAGTTTTCCTTTGAATAGAAGTTTAAATATGTGTAAGATTTAAAAAGTCTATCAACAATATTCTGGTCAATTTAATTCCAGAGTTTATAGCTACAGTTAATGGTGTAAACAAACAAAAAATACATAATATTTAGGTTAAAGTCTTGCTTGTTGACAATTTAGTAATATTGCAAAGATTTTGATCTAGAAGTCGGACCATAACACCGTCATTCAGGTGAACAATAGGTAGGCCTTAAGACAGGAAGCCAGACAAAAAGCCCCCCCAAAGTGTAATTAACCTTGATACTTTGTATTTCAGAAAGAAAAGAAGTACAGAATCCTTTCTAAGTAAATGGGGATGGAGACAGCTGACTTGGCGAGCTTTGTTGTGTTTTACACACACTGATCAGACTGATTTGCTTTAGCAGCTGCTTGTCTCAGCAACAGTAAGTCATTCAGAGACTTCTGTTTAATATAATTTTGTTCTCAAAGGATCAATTCTGTAAGCATTAGTGGAACTAGAGAGTTCTACTTATTTGTGCATCTGGACAAGCTCTTAGTCACACAAAACTTTAAACTTGCTTTTCTATTTTTCAGTGGGTTTTGGGAGGTTGTAGAAAGCAAAACTAATTTTGTGGAAACTTTATGGGAGGATTTTGATACTTCTGTTCTTTTGCTGTTCTTCAGAGATACAACAAATTGAAAAGTCATTTGGAAAAGTTACTCTTATTTGGCGTAGTTTTCCATTTGCTTCAGTCTCTCCATCTCGAAGCGCTTCTTTGAGGTCACCTTTCTTTTGAGAAATAGTTTCTTGAAGGACATGGAGCTCTTCTTTTCTTTGGTTTAACTGTTGCTCCAGAAACAAGAGCTCTTGTTGCTGAGCAGTAATCTGCAATGTAGAAGTTTAACAGAAAAAGCATCTGAAGGCTTTTACTTTTGCAGGCACACACACACAGAAGAACAAGCGCAGTACACTGTTCCCTGATGGAGATTTATTTGAATTGTGTAACACATAAGGATCCCACCAGAGCAGTGAGCTTCATTTGCTAAACCTGTGTTATACAGCCAATGCTAAGGCTTAAGTTCTGATCTGGACAGTGCAGTCCTGTACCTCAGAAAATTAAGTTTCTTATTCTGAAATGCAGTGAGAATTGTCAAAGAGAACTCTGGAGTAACATTTCTTATGCAGAAACGCCAGTAGGATTTGGATCATACTCATCATGAGGGAAAATAAGGAGAATTGAATTACCAACGTAAGAATTAAATTGTTCAGACAAGGCAGTTCAGAACTTAAGACTCTTCTCAGCTTTCAGTTACCTCAAAAACATCAAACTTGATAGTCCAGAGTTAGTAAATAAGCCTTACCTGATCTTTTAATCTTTCCAGTTCAGTTTTCTTGCTCTGAAGAAGGTTTTCTGCTTCTCTAAGGATTTGGAGGTGATGTTCTTCATTACCCTCTGCAACTTTAATATCTCCTTGAAGCTTCTGAAGACTTATAGTGAGGATAAAAAACATGACTCAAAAAACAAGAGTACCTTAGACAGGAACTTATTGGAGGAGGACATCTTTATTTTATCTAATACAGTTTATGGTAAATGGTAAATTAAAAATACTTACCTTTCAGTTAGCATTTCTATCTTCTGGTTTAACGACTGGAACTCAGAGTCTCTTGCAGTCACCATTTTGTTGATTTCCTTCAAAATACCTTCTTGTTCTCTCTTACGTTGTTCTAAATCCCTTGTATCTGCCTGTAATAACCTGAAGAAGCATTTATGCCTTTCCATATTAACATTTTAACAGCTCTCCCTCTCCAAAAGCACTGTCTTGGTAGTTGAAAGAATCTTGTTGTTCTCCCCATCCCCATTTGATACAAATCCACAAGAACAGTGTACCTTAATTGCCGATCTGCTTTCACAAGTTTAATGGCCATTTCCTGAGCCTTTCGCTCTAGCTCCTTTGCCTCTGTTTCAGTCCGGGACAAATGCTGTTTGGCACCATTGTACTTTTGAATAGTGTCTTTAGTCTAGAGCAAAAATTGAAGATTGAGACAATACATTCCCATCTCATGCTTTCCATATCCATACCCTGCAGGTTAGCTGTCTAAAGAGGACCTCCTCCTGGCTTGAAAATTCCACCTAAGTTTTCTCCCTTTGTATACCATGAACCTTTTCTCCTCTCTTGTACACAGCAGAACAGCTTCCTCCTCTTTGGCAAGGACTGAAACATTTGCTTTTAGCACAGGTTATCCCATGGCTTATTTTCAAATAGAAGCATTTTAAGAGGCTTCAGGTTATCCAAGTGAAAATAAACTGCTTAGACAAACAAAAATCCTCTGCTGAAAACAATCTTATTGCAACATGCAAGTTCTTCTGCACTTAAGAGTTACGGTTTTACTTACTTTCCCCCGTGTGCTCTCAAGTTCCACTTCAGCTTCTGAAAGTAGCCTGTCTGCCTCCCTAAGCTCTGCTCGTCTCTTCAGAAGAGTCTTCTCTATACATTCAATTTCATCCACAGTATCTTCATGATGTTTAAGAGACTTTTCTAACTGCAGTTCTGCAATAAGGTTGTCAGTATATCCCTCAATGAAGTCCCTAAAAGGTCAGGAAGAAAGACATGGAATTAAAATACGAAAGGCAAGAGGCCCAGAGCCTCCTGAAGTTCTAGTCCATTACACATACTATAAGGACAAGAACATTAATTGTAAACGAGTCAAAATTAACTTTTATTGGAAAAAAGTTTAGATATTTCCACAGGCTTACTTGAAATGCATTCTATTCTTACTTGTGATTGTTGTGATTTTGAGCCGTTCTTCGTAGCTCTGCTACTTGATGTTCCAACTCTTCTCTTTCGTGCAAAAGTTCTTCAATGTTTTGATGCAATTTTTCCACCCCTTTTTTGCATTTATGCTCAGCTGCCTCTGACCATTTATCTTTGTATTTCTGAGACTTTAAATAATACACAGTGTCTTCTAGCCTTGAGACTTCACTCTCCTACATACAGGAAACAGAACCACAAAAATCAAGACCTATTTTTTATTTCAGTCCTCCTGAGACACAGGAGCAGCTATGGACAGCACAGACCCAACTATTAGCGCTGAAGATACAGCATTCTTATCAGCAAGCTCTCACAGACCCAGAACCTTCCTAGCAGAGACTCTGATGGGTTTTTTTTTTAAAACTGGACTAATCCAATTTGTGAAAATGAGGTTTTGGTGTTTGCCTTTTTTTTTTTTAAAACATATGTTAAAAGATGTTCCTAATCCATTCATAAGTCAGTTGCCTATGGTTAAACCTACAGCTTACAGCTCTGTATCTTACCAAATCATGATGTTCAGGCACATTGCAGTGAAGCACTCCAACAGGAATGAGTGGGACAGTGAAGTTTGGAGGAAGAGGGCCATAAACAACCTGGGCTCCCACAGGAGGAGGGCCATAGATGACAGATCCAGGAGCAATTGAACCTCCACTGGCTGCTGCAGGAGGAGGGCCATAAACCACAGTTCCCTGAGGTACAGGGGCACCATCTGGAAGGACTGTGTAAATAACTGTACCAGGTGGTGGCACAAAGGGAGGGTCTTTAGGAACACGAGTTTCTTCGTTTCCTTCGCTATCTTCTTTCACTCTTCTATCTTTACAAAAAGAAAAAAAAAGTTATTTCACTTTTATGAAAAAGATTTTCTTCAAATGCACATTTTAAAATAACGCACATTCTATGTAATGTACAAAAATGTAATAAACACTGCTTAAACTGAATAATGAGCTCAACAGTAATAAACATTTATAATTCACTATGAACTCTAAGTAAGCCCATCTTTAGTATGCGCCTAAACATTTTGAGACCAGGAGACTGACTTACCTTTACCAGAATTTGTTTTGTACAACCTATTTCTGACTGGTGAATAAACCCAACATCCTCCTTGACTGGGCAAGTCTGCCTTCCTGCATTGCCTGTCCTGGCCACATCCTCTCTTGGGTGGGGATGTGCCAGAACACAGTAAACAAACTCCAGAATCTTTTGTGCTACGGGAAGCAGGAGTTGAAGCCTAAAGAAAAAAAGAAAACATGTTAATCTAGAAATAACAAATCATGTACAGTAAGTTATTTGTTGGTAGACACTCTAGAGCACTGATTTTTCAAGAACAGGCAATACACAGAGTTTTCTCTCACTTCCAAGCGTGATGCTGCTTTAAAAACAGCACTAAATATATTTTAACCATATTTCTCTTCAATTCAGACACATGCTGTTTTGCAAGAAAAGTTTGTCTGTAATGTCCCCTTTTAAGCCTTTACCGCACGAATTTACAGCACTGCATTTTGAATAGTTGTCTGCAAATTTTACATATACTAGATTCCTACACAGTAATAGGCTTTATCAAGGAACATTTGTGTCTGTGTTGTTTCAGTATTTCTCTTACACACCAGCCAGTATTTTTTAAGTTCCTCCCAGACCTGTCAAATTCATAATGGACTTTCTTGTATCAAATGACTTTCCACATAATAGGACTTATATTTCTGACCTGTGACGATGGCATGTAATACCAGTATCCCCTTCTTTTCAATGGATCAGCTATACTGGTGATGTAATCATTCTGGTATGAGAGCACATTTTTGAGTGCAGCAATTTCATCTTGTAAGTTGTTAATTTCGTCTTTGTTATCTGTAAATTAATCACAGTTTTACAAGCATATAAGGCAAATAATTATCATAAATACTGCATTGAGCATTCATTAAAGTAACAGTTTAAAGCTTTTCCCTCAGTTACCCTGTTAATGTGAAACAATATTGAAAAAATGAATTGCTAAGGGAAACAAACTAGACGTTGTTATATAGTGATAATATACACTGGCCCCTGCAAGTTTGTCATTTTAAGATTGTAGAAATACAAGTTCATATACAGGTGACTGATGCTCATTTTTCGTTATATATAGATCTCTGGCAATGTTCTAGAGCAGTATAGACTGAATGCATAACACAATTAACTGTTTTCTAAATAGTTGTAAGAAGTGCTGTTAATACAAACTAATGAAAACTAATACACTGTTCATGCTGATTTTCAAACTGAGGCAGAACTTCACTAAATTTCCAAAGGTCACAAGGCAAATCAGCTAGCAAAGCTAGAAGCCTCTGAAGTTCTAGTGCCACTGCTAGTCCTTAACCATCCATTTCCTCCATTTATCATATTTGGAGAAGCAAAGGCGCACACACTTCACCTAACTGCACTTTGTGCATTTCAAATGCACTGTAGTGCAAAAAAGTTACATCTTGCTGTTTGCTCCACATACATAGATACAGAGAATCCACTGAAGCCCAGTGATTTAACGACCGAATGTATCTTTGAATAGAATAGAACTGTACAGGAAGACATCCTGAACAGTTTATTCTCCTAGAATAAACTTCCAGAGCTCTGAAGAGCTTCTCAGATCAAACAGCGAGAAATACGGAGAAGGAAGTGAAGCCTTCTGCATCCATGCTTCTCTGCAAGAAATGAAAGAAAAAGAGAGGTTACCTGTACCAATATTATCCAACAACCATCTTAAACGGTCAATTTCTGCTTTTTGTTGCTCCATAGCTTCATTTAATTTATCAATTTCAAACTTCTGAGAGCTTGATGCAGCAGTCTGCTTGCCAACTTTCTCCATTTCATGCTGAAACTATTTAAAAAATAAGTTTAAATCAAAGCAAAGCATTTCAGTTTAAATTAGACTGTGCTAAAACGTTTTCAAACATGCCCATCTGTCCCTACAAAAATGCTCATTCAGCAAAACACATGTACCACTTTGATGCAATCAAATTATTCTTCTCATCCCCTCATATGGCTGAGGCTTACAGACATAGCCACATAAAGGCATTTAAATGAACAGGTGACAATTTCCCTTAAAATCAGCTACTCTACTCAGTGAGGTTTTCACTCTGTTCTTTGGCAGATGTCAGGGGAGGGAAGAACATTGTGACTTGGGAAAACGTGAGGAAAAAGGGCAGGGCATTTTCAGAACTCACTGAACCAATATATCCAACTATTTCATCCCCTTCATAACATAGAGCAAACATCACTGCAACTTACTTGTTCTTCTTTCTCCTTGAGGAGCTGTTGTAACAATTCTATTTCTGCTTCTGCTCTAGCAAGATCCCGAGCTGCACGAGCTGCCTCAGCACAGAACTCTTCGGCTTCCTCAATCTCCTAAAATTGAAATTTTAGTTTGAGCTGTAGTTTGCAAGAATACTTCACAAGCTTGCAAGAATATTTCACAAGCTTGCAGATGTCTCATGCAGCTTTGTGAAAAGCCAACTAATAAGAAGCATCAGCACTTGTCTGATCTGGAATTCCAGAAACTGGCAAACTTTATGTAAAATAATGTGCCTCCTTTAGCCTTACAGTATTTCTACTGAGGAGATGTTATTATGTAGCCAAAAATGGTCGCCAGTTTTAAAAACCTGAAGTGTAAGCACAAACTTCCGTAATCTCTTCTTTAGCTTTTTTCTTTTACATAACAATGTATTCTCTATTGTTTGACTTTCAGTTAATGAGACATTGAATTTGCCTCTCCCTCACCTTCTAACACACTGCAAGAAAGCTTGTCCATACCCAAATTTACTCAGGCATTCATCTACTGTATTTCAAGATGAGACTCTGTCCAAAGCAAGAGCTCCTGTGCAACAGGACAATTCAGAATAAAGCTCTGAAGCTGAATTTAAAAGACAACACCAGGACTGCTCCCCTTATGATGGCATTAGAAAGCACATTATATACAAGCAATTAATTATCAATGTTGATTTACCTCAGCTCGCTCCTGATTAATTCTGAGAACAGTCCCATGAAGAGCCTTTAGCTGATTTTTAGCAACGCAGAGCTCTGTGGCTGCCAGTTTATCTGAAGTGATGACTGCTCTCTTTAATTCCTTCAGTTCTTTGTCTAGACTGACAAATTGCATTTGTGCCCTGGCATCTTCTATTTTTTTCTGAAACCGGGAAAACAATAGGTTTTATAAGTTTTAAGTAAAAAGCAGCATGGAGGAAAGGCTTGCTGCTGATACGATTTTTTCCCCACATTTCCCCATTTTGTACTGTATGCACAGAAGTAACAGGAAAAAACACTAAAGCAAGGACAACCAATAAAATTTAGGGAAAAGACAGACCTTATATTTAATCTCTGTGTTCCTTCCTGTATTTGATCTATCTTAGAAAGCAAAGTAATTCAAAAGCTTGCTCACGAAAAGAAGATTCAAAAACATAGTGCATGGACTCGTCTTTATGCATTCCTACCCTCTTCTCTAAATCTTCCAGTTGAGCAAGAATAGTCTCTTTCTCTTCATCTGCCTCTTGGAGCTGTTGATCAGCAAGGCCCTGAATTTCTTCCATGCTCTTTATTTTTTCATGTAAATGTTGAATTTCATCCTCTAACTGATGGACCTTGTTCTTATTCTGCCTGTTTTCAGCTTTAACCTGTAAGCAAAATAAGTTAGAATGAGTAGCCAGAAATACTTTTTTTTTTTTTTTAAGCAAAAGCCACCCTATTTTAACAATTTAAAGAAACAACTTTTTGGGAAGTGCAGTTACCAGCATACTTTGTACCAGAAGAGAAAGGAAAAAGAACTGCTCTGCCACTGTAACTATTACATTTTAAAAGTGCCCAAGTTATTTTGGTAGTGGTATGATGATCTTTTGAGGAGGTTACTGGCTATATATTTTTACCTATAATTAAACTCTTTGTTGCCTCTGAGACGTATCATTGAGTCTAAATTCCAATTCACCGAATAATCAGGCAAAAATCATAAAGCCAATAAAAAAAAATTTTCAGACTCCACTCTTACATCAACACCAAGAGTTGAGTATCCCCTTGTTATCATACACCTAAAATTAAGAGATTGCTTGTGGAAGTTTTAATGCATATTAAACTCTTTTCCTCCACACAACTTTTTTGCAGGCTTTACATAATAAAAGCCAACAAAAGGTTGCGAAGGAACATGTGTCCGGTCAAATATCCGATTTAACACTTACCAAAAGAAAGCAAGAATGGCTGATACGTTTCCCTACTTCAACCAGAATTTCAAAGTATACACAGCATGGAACTTGTCAATTATGTGTTTTCCCTCTTTGGAAGCTTTTGCCTGCTTATACAGTTTCTTTATAATGAAAATTACTACATGACGTACATTTACACACAATAGGAAAATCGAAACTCTAAGAATGGTTAATATTCCTAATCACAAGTAACAGCATTCTGCTCTGATACGAGTTGTCAAATGTGTTTCTCATAAGCAAATGTATTCGATTTGTCTACCTTCAGTAAAATCATACTTCTCTGAAAGATCGAGGACAGCAAAGCTACATCCATTGTAAAACTTGATCCTTCAGCTGCAAGTTACATTTTTTTAGACTAAGCTGAAATTGTCTTACTCTTACTTTTGTTGTTTTGATACATGCCTGTCTATATTTCTCCTGTACTTCTTCCAGTTTTTCCTGCTGGGATACCATTTCTTCCTGCAATTGTCTCTGTCTGTCCCATGCTTTCTCTTTTTCTCTCTGAGCATCAGCAAGGATGTTATTAAATTCTTTCTGCAGATTTGCAAGGCTTTTCCCTAAAACATCAGCTGAATTCTGACATCTGAAAGAGAAACAATCCAGGTTCCAAGACAGAAAAATAGTTATTTTAAATTGATACCAGATACCAAAATAACGAAGCCTAATACAACAGCACAGGTGTAAGACATCCAATGTAAATGAATTCAGGTGAAGCACTGAACACATTACACTGCACAGACACCCACCCTGGCTCTATTTATTTCATTCTGTCTGTCTTTGTTACCATTCTTTGTTGCTGGGGTCAAAGAAGGGAAAAAAGTTTGGCCTGTCCCTTGCAGCGAAACAGAGGACTGTGTATTTCGCTCAGTAATATAATTACTGAGCTCAGGTGATGTTTTCTGAACAACCACAGGGTGCTGAAGTTGGCGTTTGAACTGCCTCAAGTTGCACTCAGTAGGATGCAGCACATGTACCTTGTTGCTGTCATGTACTTCCCACTTTCACATGCACAAATCTAACACTGTACTTTTATTTTACTCACTTAATGTCTCCGACTCCCGTCTGAAGCTTTTGCTTGAGTTCATTTATGCAAGCTAAGACTTCCTCAGGATGAATTAAGGTACCAACTGCATGCTTTAGCTGATTCTGAAGATCTTTAAGCTGTTGTTTCAGGAGATTATTGTCTCCCTAAAAAAACAGACAAAAACACCCATCCACAAAACCATAGGTAAACAAATGCACAAGTGATAAAAGCTAGAATTTTTAATACCTACACCTGTTTTGGGGTTTTTGTTGTTGCTGTTGGGGCGATTGGGGTTTGTTGATATTTTTCTGTGTTTTTAAATAGAGTCCAATTTTTTTTTTTTCAGCATGGCATGAACCAGTATCAACAACTAATTAAGAACACCCCAAATAATCTTTCCTTTCAGTTTCCTTAATGTTGAAAAGTATTTAAATGCCAGCTCAAAAATGATCTTATCCTTTCCTTAAACTAAGGAGAAACTTTATTTACATAAGCAAAGCCCAGTGGCATACAGAAGCCTGTGACACTATCTATCCATAACAGAGGATGGAACAATTGCAGACGCTGTCCCAGCCACTAGATCGAAGAGTCATACTTGTCCTGGACCCATTGGTATTGAACTCTTCTCTGCCCATTGGCAAGCTTCAGCAAAAATGACACTGGTGATGTCTCGTGAGGATCCTTTACAAACTCTTTCTGAAGTGGCTAGACTAGATGTTAGACTAGATGTTTATTGTAGGTCCCTTCCAAATGAAGCATTCTATTCTATTCTGGTGGTCATCATACACTCTAAGGTGTATGTGAGATAGGAAAAAGGGATCTGATGGATACAAAGAAGGACTGAACCCAGCCTTCAAACAGTGAGGGAAACTGATTTAATCATGTAGTACTTAAAAAAAATAAAATAAAAAAGGGCGCTTCTTTGCCAGACATATTTTGAAAATCTTGAACCCAGTATATTACTCTTGCCTAGATAAATCCTGTTGATTGAGCCTTTCAACAGCTTTAGGAAAAGGAACACTCAGTTTCTAATCTCAGTTAAAATAAGGCACTGATCTGTGACACTATTAAAGTAGAGGCGTTTCTGTACACCTATGCAGTTCATGAAATGCTTGCAAGTTCAAGGATGGTGTGCCATTACTGTTTCGTGGAAGTTAAGTAAGATTCCTCAGGATCACAGCCTTAAACAGAGGCAATAGATTCTGATTCAGGTATTGGATCATTTTTTTCTTCTGCATCCAAATAGTTTTCTTACTGACATGTACTGGGTGCAGCTTGTGGGAAATTAAGATTCTCTGCAATATAACTGAGCAGCTCTGAAGTTATTTCAATGGTCAATCTAAAACATACAGATAAAAGACTATGGTATAGGGTCTCTGGACAAGAAAATTAAAGTCAGGAAAAGTCAAAAATACTACTGAACTTCAAAACAAGATTCATACAGAATCCTTTAAAATTCTTACACTTTCGCCTGGGGGAGTGGGGAAACACACTGCTTATGAGGTAACTTTTCAAAGGCAACAAATACTTCACCTGCAATTGTTTGAACTGAGAAAGAAGCTTATAATTTTGTTGTTCCTTCTCTTCTGCTAGTTGTGCTTTGGTCAGAGCATTCTCTAACGCTTGCCTTTCTTTTTCAAGTTCAGCTTGCAGGGCTGACAGTTCCATCTACAGACACAGAAAAGCTTCAGATTAATATCCCCACTCCCAGCCGCAGTCTGCCACCCAAATACACAACAGCTCTATTTCTTAAAACAGTAACAGTATGACAACACCTCCTAAAAAAAAAAAAATCCAAACCACCACCAACCATCCCAAATCAACCCATCACCATATACACATAACAGGTGTATTTCCTAGAACATCATCATCATGACTGGCACTATAAATTCTAACCTAGATCTAGCATGAGCATGTCCTACCCACCAAGTAACCTGCAGATTTACATTTTGTCAGTGTTCTACAGAGAGCTGTCAAGTTTTTCCTGAAACATCAAAACTCGAAGACTTGGAGGGGTTGGGCACAGAACACCACACTTCACTGTTTTGCATTTTCATTTCTGCCTGCAATCTGAAATGTGCAGTCGGAGTACGTCTTGCAAAAAAAACCCCACCATGTGGATTTCACAGAATCACAGAATCACTAAG